CCTTTCTTATAACTGATGATGCCATAGTTAACAAAACTCCAAAGAGTGAAAAACAAGGACCACTGTCAAATACACCAGTGGAAAATTCATAATCAAATTGTTACCGAATACACTGAAGCTGTTCATTCAAGCTACAGAACCACTTTAGTCCAACATCTCTTCGCAGAGGGGACAAAGGTTTAAAGATACACTAAGCCTCCAGCAGTCATCTTGCAACCTACTGACAATATATACATTTCACTTGCATCTCAGGCTTTGTTTTACAATATTGCAATAGATATTATGAAATTAATATAGCATTACAGCTGTTGTACTGTATCGTGAAATACAACAGTCAGTATGTACAAAATCTAGGGATGCACAGAATATTCCGCCACCCAAAATTTTCAGCCAAAAATGCATTTTTTGGGGGGTATTTTCGGCTGACAATTTAGGATGAAAGAATTTTTATCACCGAACAAAAAGGCTGAAACAGGAAGTTATGATGATGCAAACAAAAACCCCAGTCAGCGTGCGCTTATCTGAAAGTGCCAACATGTCTGCGGTGTGGACGTATTTCGAAATATCTGAGAAAGACCCACGGATAGTGTTCGCAAAACATGTTATGCTGCCGAAAATGGCCTTAAAGTGCATTTTCGGTTTTCGTCCGAAAGACTTTTTTCACCAAAAAAAAAAAAAAAAAACACGACTGAAACAAGGAAATTATGAGGACGCAAGCAAGAACCGTGGCCAGCACCAAAAGCCAGCATTTCTGCAGTGTTTACGTATTTCAATATATCTGAGAAAGACCCACGGATAGCGATTTGCAAAACGTGTAATGCTGAAATTTCAAGAGGCGGTGAAAAGTCAGCTCACGTCAGGACACGTTTCACTGGGATCTCTTTGGATCTCCCGTACTTCTCGTGACTGTACTTGATCCGCAAGATCACTGATCAATCAAATGATCCGGGCTGCAATGGACGCAGACCGGCGTCAAGATGGAGAACCGCACGGCACCAGATAAGAGGCAGGAACCCTCGTTGTCTGGTATGTTCTGTGAGATCCTGCGAGAGAGTTCCTCAAATAAGAATAATACGTTATTACGTTAATTATTTTGACAATCAATAATGTATTATTAATTAATGCAATTGCAGTGCCTTTAGTGAGTTATTAATTTATGCAATTGCAGTGCCTTTTTTGATGGTTAGTACACGGTCATAGCCATAAATGCAATGGTACTAATAACTGGCATAATAATTTCTTTCTGTGTTTCTGTGTTTTCAGCCTTTTCTCATTTTTGGTTTTGGCTAAGATTTTAATTTTGGTGCATCACTACCAAGGAGATCAGTTGTATCTAATCTCTAATGTATCTGTAGCAGATGTTATTCCTTATTCCTTTCCCCACAGTTCATGCCATTGCAGTGCCTTGGTTTTATTGATGTTTAGCACACAGTCATAGCCATAAAGGCAACGGTACTAATAATTGGCATGATAATTCTTTCGGTGTTTTAGGAGAATTTTAATTTGAGTGCATGCCTTATTGAAACCGCTTGTAGCGGTTTTTGGTTGTGTCAACATAACTTCCTGTTTCCGCTATGTTGTTTCGGTGATAAAAGTATTTCGGCCAAAAAAACGAAAAATGCACTTTTTTATTTTCGGTGCATCCCTAACCACTACAAGTCTTTTTCTACACTTACATGTGTTAACAACAACCAATTTTATGATAGGATTCCTGTGTTAGCTTAAATGCTAAATAGCATTAGGTTTTAGTGAATGTTACAACATTTCTATCAACACTATAGACTTACGTTTCATAATCACATATTGTATATTATTTTTCTCTTCTCTTGTCTCATCGCCATTAGTAATGTGGCCTAACAATTCTCAGCCCTAGTCACAGTTCATGTCATTGAGCTGCCAACAATATTCTTGTGGGACATAGAGGGAGGTGAGGAGTTCACAGTTATTGTTGCCTTTATTGTAAAGAGGTTCATTTTTCAAAATGCCAGGATAACTAGGACAGCATGTCACAAACGTTGTTAGAGTCTTTTGGTTTTTGAAACACTGGTAGTTGTTTGCTAGTATTAACTAACTAACTACTTTCTTAGGAGCTTTTCTTTTGTTTTTGGGTGCCAGGCAAGACGAAAACCACACTCATATCAACACTGGGGTTTTGCTTTACATGGTGTAAATAAGTATGATCAGTTACAGTAAAAGGTCAAAACGAAATGCAATGAAAAGTCATGAAGCAACTCATACAAAAATACATTTCAAATATGGGTGAACTATAAAATAGAGTTCAGAAATAGTATAATAATATATATATACGTATATACAGTACATATATACAGTACATATACACATATACATCTACATATGTAATTGTTATACCTCATCAGGGATTTAAATCACAATGTGCGTTTGCTTGATCATTCGTGTGATAATGCTATCAGACGACAAAGACATTCTGCAGTTACCATGGTGCCATTACGTACAGCAGCGAATAAAGTGAGAAACGTGGAATAAGCACAAAGACACCTGGGAAACTTTGTTTCCACAGCCGAACAGCAGCCCGCCGAGGGCTACAGTTAGCATGCTAACATTGGACTGATGTTTGCTAATGTTAGCACGTTCCACTAAAGATAACTACTGATTTGTAACTCATGGTGAATTTATAACTGTACCGTGAACACTCCAGCACGACTCCCTTCTTCTTCATTATCTGTTACTCCGACAGCGCTGCCACATTGTTCTTCCTCTAATGATGATTCCTCGGCACAGAGACGTCAGACAACTGGATAAAGCTACAGCTAGCTGCCTCTGCGCTGCCACAGTTAGTCGAAATGAAGCCGCTCCACCTCTGTCAGAGTGTCACGACATTGGGGAAGTGTCCGTGGCTCCAGGATATACCGGTGTAGCTCGTTTACAGTCAGCGGTTTGTTTACATGAAGGGAGCGACACCAGCCCCAGTGTTTGGAGTTAAAAGTCAACTTCAGCACATAGCGAATCCATCCGCCATCTTGGATCTGCTGGAAACCCGGACTCAACCAAGTGTGGAATTACCGAGGGAGGGCTTAAAAGAGACGTCACCCCACCAACCACCTTTTTTTCGTAGACCAAAGTTCACAAATGGAGGACTGAATACTGACTGTCCCCCCTATAACAATACACTCTCTCCACTCGCTGTGTAGAACTGTGTTAGCATGTCCGTTTTAGCTTACCTTACTGTGTAGAAAGGTAGAGTGATTTTATTATTATTATTATTATTATTATTATTTATATTATTATTATTTATATTATTATTATTATTATTATTATTACAAACTCTAGGTTCACTTTAAGGCGGTGTTTCCCAACCTTTATTGAGCCACGGCACACCAAATAAAAACAGAAATCAGACAAAAAGTATATGTAATGAAATATAATAATCTTCTAGTTAAAGTGACCTTATAATTCACTAGAATCTCAGCCTGTTTAGTAGTAGACAATGTTGATATACTGGTAGGAATTGAAGAAAGGCACAAAGATCTTCTTCAACAGCACTTATCTTTTCTTGTTAGTTTTCATTAGCTATCTGCTGCCACCTAGCAGAAGAGTATTGTTCTGCCTCTCATGCTTTGAAGAGCAAAGAAACATTATTTGCAATAAATAAATAATAGTTTTCAGTCCCATTAAGTGCAATTAAATAATTTTCCATCTCTCACGGCACACTAGTGTGCCATGGCACAGGGGTTGGGAATCACTGCTTTAAGGTAATACTGCAGACCCCTGATTAGCTAAATACAGTAGATTCATAAAGCCTGCTCTGCTGCCATCTAGTGACTGGAGGCTTGTTTATCGTTCAAGCATGAATAAAGACAGTATGCTGAAAGTCCCCCCTCACGCGCCAGGGGACCCGCGCCCCACTATTTGAGAAACAATGGTTTAGGCAAACATCTTTTATTTCCCTACCGTCAAGTCTATGTTATTGATTTGTAAGCCTCTTGCTTTGCTATAACCCCTACTTTTTTGGGGGTACCCCTCTTCTCACCATCACATTTCATTGTTCTTTGCGTGTGTGAAGCAGCTTTCCACTTAAAAACAGAGAAGACACAGCGTACCTTGTCCGTTAAAAATACTCACGGGTTAAGTAACTATAAGAGGCATATTTTTAAAACTAAAAATAACAAAGGTACTCGGCTGTCTAAAATCAACTGTGTACATGTGTAGTGTGAATGAGGCACAATAGAGATAAAGCCATCCAGGGTAAAGAGACCCCTCAACCTGAGCCTGAAGCTCAGAGCTAGTGACCGAAACAGTATCAAACTCTCTCACCTTAACACAAAACAAACGTTCCCAAATCACAGATCATTATATACGATCCCTTATTTGCTCAGACAATTGTGTCGAGCGCCGAGTTGTCCCGCGAAACAATAGGAGATCAGTAGCAGGTGTCAAATGAATCATTGGACTGTCTTAATTCCTGAGGAGATCTGCGACTCATTTTCCAGACTGTCCATGAGGCGAACAGCTTAAAATACCACTGGACTGGAACGTCGACAATCGATTACTCACTCGACGCGCAGTAACAATCTTGAAACAATCTGAAATAGTCATTCTGAAGAGTGGCTGTGGCCTTTTTGGTCACTCGAGAAATTTCCTTTTTTTTTTTTTCTTTCTTCTTTTTAACATATGACCGGATGGACTAAATGGTCACTCGAGAAATTTCCTTTTTTTTTCTCTTCTTTTTAACATATGACTGGATGGACTAAACTGGGCAAAATAATCAAAAATATTACTGCTCTGTGAGACACAGTGTAGTCCGAGGAGTCTAGAAATGTTTTCCTTAAGCTGAAATTCTCTGCAAATCCAACACCATAAATTATAAGTCAAACTCGGAGAAAGTAACCACCACGCACATTCCGTTTTGCTTTTACCTTTTTATTTAGTCTTTTCACTGTTATTTTTGAACCTCTTATATTCAGTACATATAGAACTTTTCAATCCAGCTACACTTGTTGAGGAATATAAAAATATCACAGTACTTTTTCTACTAAGTTGCCTTTGCTCTGAGGCCCAGAGCCAATCAGAGAGAGGCATGTGCAGAACCACAGCATGTGCCTGGACAGAGATGGAAAATAACAGCACCACGGTGTTGGAGCACAATGTACATGGACTTTACAAAGATCAGTAAAGCAGGGCCTCCTAAAGTCGGGGAAATTTAATTTCATATTTGAATTTTTTTGAAAGTCGGGGAAATTTAATTTCATATTTTTTTTTGTTTTTTTCAAACTAGTGAGATGTTTAAGATTTGTTTGTATTTTTCGTGACAAGCCATCATGCTTCACAGTGAAGCTACAAACCAAACGTTTGGACCTGTTCCTTTTCTTTGTCGGTTTCCAAGTATGACCACATTGGTTTTCTTACTGGTCTTTGTAACCACTGATCCTACAAGGAAAGGAAGGAAGATTAAGTCTAACGTGACTGGAACACAACATTTCTTTTCACATCTTTGAAGTGTCATTCATACCCGCTGTTTTTAACTCTCTTCAACTGAACTAATCTATCAGCTACGAGCTCAAAAGTATTATTATGACTACAGAATTTGACCGGTCAGGCTTCAGAGAAGGTTTAAGGGTTTCTCATTGTTCTTGGCTCAGACATATTTAAATTTAAAAAAAAAAAAAAAAAAAAAAAAAAAAAAGAGTTTAAGTTTTTTAAATATGTGGCAGTATGTGGAAATGACATTCCGCACCTGATTGTGACTTTCCTTGCCGAATCTTTTAGACAATTTGACCTACATACTATCAATGATTATAGCTAATCCACTACAAATTTGTTATTTTAAATTCCAGATTAAAAAAAAAAATTTCAGAACTTAAGTAAGCAGAACCTACAGTTACGGGGAGTAGCCAAATTTTGGTAAACTCCACAAGCAGAATAAAATAGCATAAACAAAGATTTAATAAAAATGATTCACCAATATCCATAGTGCCACCTAGTGGCAACAGGCAATTGCATTCGCTGCTTTCTCAAAGCCAGGTGTGGCCTTGTTTGTAAATCCCACGCTCCCTGCAACCCAGTCTAGAAACACATAGGTAGAATCACATTAAAGTTGTTGATTCTCTGCTGTTTTCATGTGTGTGTGTTTTTTGTGTTATCTCCGTACAGAGGCGTCGGAAATGATTCATCCGGATTTGTGCTAGTAACACAAGCTTACTAAATGAGGCAGCATTTAGCAGACCGACAGCTTCGGTGTCCAAACAAGCTAACAAACAGAATTACTATAATTCAGTTCTATAATTCCGGTGCAGGAGAGCGAGCAGTTTACTACTCTCAGTTTGGGCGCTGAAAAAAAAAAAGAAAAGCAAAACATACTCTGCAGCCATCTGGTAAACGGAAGGAAATCGGGCTGTTATCAGTGCAGAAGGTCGGCTCATGACAGTCGGCGACGTGTCAACACCTCAACTCATACAACAACACTTAAAAAACGTCCACTCTCCAGTTAATAAAGGAGGCCCTGCTCAGCTGATGAGTGCAGTTGTGCTCACGTCTCTCCTAAGGCAGGTGGAAATGTTAATGTGGATCCCACACAACAGCACCTTTAATATTCTCTCATTCTCTTCCCATGCCTCTCTACCACACACGTTATATATTCTATACAAAATATCAAAAAAGATTAAACAAAATACTGAAAAATCCTCACCTGTACTGACAATATAATTATAATAATAGATTTTTTATTTGATTTTATTTGTACATCTTCCTTTTCTCCCACTCTGCGAGGATATGAATCAGAAGTGAAAAGCGTTCAGTGGATATAACCTCACAGCACCTACCACTCCGGACAGGAATGTTGCAGCATGAACGTGACTTCGCTTTGTGATTTTTATTCACAGAAGAACAAAAGGAAGTTGTTAGGGAAACTGAAAAAGATGTAGTGAGGACGAAAGGCTATACGACAGAGCCCCTTCGATAGTCAGTGTGGGAGAAACGGGAGAGGTGGGTGAGATGAGAATAAAAAGGAGTACACTTAAAATCCACAGATACACCGACATGAAACAAGACAAGAAAGAAAAAAAAAAAGAGTGAGAAGCCAGCCGTGGACAGAGAGGGAGAGCAGGGAGTTGTCCAGGTTTAACTCCAAGAAACACTCGTAAAAAAGGAAGTGTCTAAGGGGGGTGGGGGTGGGGTAGGGAAATGGACGCTGATTGTCCTGTCTGTGTGCTGTATGCGTCTGAGTCCACACCGCAGGGGATGGCCACCCTTGACAGGACCAGATGGCTCAGTGCTGTGGCAATCCCAGTGTTGGAGGTTTAGCCCAGGCTCAGTGCAGTGAGGCTCACGGGGAGAAGGTTGCCATCTCCAGAGAAATGCGCTGCCACAGCTCCTTGGTCTGCTTGCCTCTTTTCAGGTTCTGCAGCACGTCATTGAACTGCATCACACCAACGGGCGTCAAGCAGAAAGCTCCCCGAGCACTGCGGATGATGTTGACAAAGTCGTCGTAGTCCGCGGGTGTCAGGTGGATGAGCCGATGGTGAATGTACTGCAGGGAGAGAGAAAAAAAAGAATTTGTGATGCTACAAAAACAGCAACAGACTCAGACGGACAATTACAGGATCGACTGAAAAAAAAAGTCCTTAAGTAACTTTAAACTTTTTGTGTGCGGCTTTTGACACTCATCAAAAAGTAAACAACTTTATATGAGGCGAGTTGAGAATTTGCCAGCACAGATGCAGCTTTAGCAGAGACACACTGTTTAGCATGGCAGTTTACGAGTTTTTGTCTAAAAAAAAAAAACTCAACTGGCATTGTCTTTGTTCTCTGGATGGTTCGTCTCCAAATGGCATCTTAGTTTGTTTGGCTTCAGGTTGTGACAAGCAAGCACTTTAAGACAGAGACTGCATGCTCTGTTCATTACCCACCACTGTACCGGGGGGGGGGCACACTGCACTTGGCTGCTATTGCTGCTCCGAGCAGATGGAACGCGCAAGAACGGAAAAAAGAATTTGTGATGCTACAAAAACGGCAACAGACTCAGAGGGACAATTACAGGATCGAATATTAACCCTTTCATGCATGACAGGGGTAAGAAAATGTCCCCCCTCCACTGTAGAGGCTTATATGCAACACTGCCATCAAAACCTATTCTTATCATAGAAAATGACATTTTCATAGCTGTCCACTGTAGTGACCGTCATGCATGACAGGGTTAAGAAAATGTCCTCCTTTGCAATATTACGATACCGATATATGCAGCTATTTGGGTTAAAGCAGTGGTTCTTAATTAATTATTTTTTGTCATGCCCCCCCACGGGGACAGAAATGTTTTCACCACACACCCCGGACCCACATCCCCCGCAAATTGAAATACTATTGAGAACCTGATAAAATGTATATTTTTTTCTGTATAAAAAAACAATTTTGGCAGATGTTTTATCATTACAGTATTGAGAAAAAAGTTTCTGTAAGACGGCTGTGCTGACAGAGGCCCTGTTGTACCTGCAGATACGCCTGTTGACAGCGTTGTACAAGCTGATGGAAAGCAGGCGTACGTAGATGGGCATGAATATGGGCGGGGTTTAGTCTCTGCAGCGCCTCCATTATTATCTCCTGAAGGACGAACGGACTGAGAACACCTTTGGCTGCCCCAACACAAAACTGGTACACATAGTTGACCCCTGATACAGGGAGAGAAGAGTTGGAAAAAGCAGAGGATATATCAGTTGTTGATGTAAAGATGAAGACATTTTGAAGATCATACATTGGTCATGGTCAAGTCATTGAATTGTTTCCTAATGATTTTTAGTGGTGGGACATGATGAGAAAAATAAATCAAATTAATTAGTGGCATTATAATTAATGAATCACAATTAATTGCATTTAGATAGATACATAGAGAGATAGATAGATAGATAGAGAGAGAGAGAGAGAAAGATAGATAGATAGATAGATAGATAGAGAGATAGAGAGATAGATAGATAGATAGATAGATAGAGATAGATAGAGAGATAGACAGATAAAGATAGATAGATAGAGAGATAGAGAGATAGATAGATAGATAGATAGATAGAGATAGATAGATAGATAGAGATAGATAGATAGATAGAGAGATAGATAGATAGATGTCTGGACCCTCTTGTTCCAACTTAAACCGACAATTTCAACGTCTATTGTTGATGACAAAGCAGTGTTGCCAGATGTAGATGACTCTCCGTTTCCCTCAGTACTTTGTCTTTAATAATATATAAACAACATTACAATCACGATCACAAGCAGAAGATTCGAAGACTAATGTCCTAAGCTTATGAAGTTGTAGCCATCACACTTTTATCTAAAAAATAATTATCTCCATTCTTACCCAGCCTAGCAGCCAGTCCCAACAGCCATTTTACATCCTCAGTGTAAGGTGGACTCCTGGAAAAATTGTTGGGGTGGTCATTGTGAGCCCGCCTACCCAGCATCTCCAACGCCAACATGCCTTCACACACACACACAGAAACAACACAATTAAAAAATATGATACTGGTGATTAAACAAAATGTTGTATTTTGATAAAACCATGTCAAGTTATATCATTTGACAACACAGATTCATAGACAATAGATGTGTTCCAATCCAGGGTCTGGAATTTTTTTGAATGTATTTTCCTGACTATAAGTTGCTCCAGCCAAAAAATGTACAATGAAGGAGAGGAAAAAAAAAAGGTCCTCCGGAATATATCGCACCAGCCAAAGGATGAATAAAAGTGCGACTTACAGGAATAGCATATACTGTTACACTAGCCTAGAGTGCCCTCTATTGGCAGTCAGTGTGAAAATAACAAACATGTACATTTTCAGTGGTACAGGAGTAGCAGATACTGGTACACAAGCCTAGAGTGCCCTCTAGCGGCTGTCAGTGAGAAAATAACAAATGTAAAATTATATATTTGAATATACAAGTCGCACCGGACGAGTCGCAGACCCAGCCAAATAATGAAAAAAAGTGCGACTTATAGTCTGGAAAATACGGCCCTATTTTTTCTAACTTTGGAAACGAGAACAGGATTTACAATCTTTTTTTTTCCTACTACAATCTTGACAAATATTGAACCATTTCAAAGAACAGAACATGCCAGAAATTGTCTGCAGATATATGTTACTCAGCCATTGCTTCTCACCAACTCTGTAGGCAGAGTGCAGATAGTGCAGGCCCTGCTGGCTGATTGGCTGGCTGTGCGTCTCGTCCTCAGTCGGGAAAGGAGTGCTGACCAATGAGGCTGGCTGTGAGGACAACGAGGGCAGAGATGCTCCTTGAATAGTCTGGATGGTGGGGCCTGCATGGACGCTGCCGACTGCAAAAAAAAGGAAGTGCTTAACACTGAGCAAGAAACTCATTTCACGCGCTGTATTTTGCACAATGTCCACATTGGTTGTACATGCCTGCATTATGTGTGTGTCCCTACGAGGTATCTGCTATATACAAGAAAAAAAGCATCTGACATGTATGCTAGGGCTGTACGATTATAGTCAAAATGATTCTCTTCTCCAGTTAATCGTGGCAGGGCAAAATTAGGATTGAAATTCAATTATTTGTGCAGACTTTGTTTTCTGAAATTGGAACTACAAAAACAGTGATATTGCAACATATCACTGCACCTAAAACTTAAAAAACACAATGTGAGAAACACAGATGTATATAAAAGGGCCCTGACCAGAAGTGGTCAACAAGGACAAAATATTTGAAATGGGTCAGTGAAATTACAGAGCAGAAACACATGGGTCTTTAGGGCTGACCTGCTACAGTGGTGTTGAGAGGCAGGCCGGTCTCCGCGTGGTAGGGATGGACAGCAATTTGAGTCATGGACGGCACGGGGACTCCAGGAAAGGTCACAGCAGCTGCCGGTGGCGGCTGTGGACCAGCAGCCACAGAAAATGGATACTGGGCCCCAATAAAGGCTGGGTGCATACCCTGAGGAGGCGCATGACAAACAAGTAACCAAAGGGCAAAACACTTCAATAGTTAGTTTAAAAATTAAAATAATTAAAATAAAAAGTTTAAGAACACCTTGTAACTGCAGCATGCACTAGAGGATGCCATTTTTGTTATAAATTTACAAATGTAAAAAATGTATATATACATATATA